GACACACACCAGCCATGGCGGGAGGGGGCCAAGGGATGAGATACCTACTTCTGGGCGTACATGTTGTAATGGGGCTGGGAGCAGACGGCGGGCGAAGGAGCCTGGTCCATGTAGGTGGCCCCTCCAGGGGCAGAATCGCCTGATGCATTGACAAACCTGTGGGGATGGGGGGCTGGTGAGCACTGGGCTGGGTGGGATGGGCTCCCCCCGGGGTGACATAGAATCATAGAATCGTCTAGGTTGGAAGAGACCCTTGGGATCATCGAGTCCAACCATCTCCCCTACTCTACAAAGTCCTCCCCTACACCATGTCCCTCAGCACTGCATCTAAATGTCCCTTAAACACAGCCAGGGACGGGGACTCCACCCCCTCCCTGGGCAGCCTGTTCCAATGCCCGACCACTCTTTGGGTGAAAAATTCCTTCCTAATGTTCAATCTAAACCTCCCCTGTTGGAGCTTGAAGCCGTTCCCTCTCGTTCTGTCACTAATTACCTGTGAGAAGGGACCAGCACCAACCTCTCTACAGTGTCCTTTCACGTAGTTGTAGAGAGTGATGAGGTCTCCCCTCAGCCTCCTCTTCCTCACACTAAACAGTCCCAGCTCCTTCAGCCGCTCCTCATACGATTTGTTTTCCAGCCCCCTCACCAGCTTCGTTGCCCTCCTCTGCACTCGCTCCAGCACCTCGAGATCTCTCTTGGATTGAGGTGCCCAGAACTGGACACAATACTCGAGGTGTGGCCTCACCGGTGGAGACATGGTGCTCTGGGAATTCCTATCACCTCCGATTGGCATCTCCCAAGGCTGGTGGGTGCAGGAAGGGGACCCACAACCCCATACCCACAAAGGACCATGACCTGTGGGGTCCCCAGTCCCAGCCCTGAGTCGCAGTACGGACTGGGGGGGGCATCTGCCTCCCCAGGAAACACACAGCCCTGCCTTGGCCATGGGCTCCTTGGCCCCCAGCACCAGCTCAGCACCGATGTGGTGCCAGAGCCTGAGAACAATGGTAGCCCTGGGCTACTGCCTGCCCCAGCCAGCTGGGGGTGACCCATGGGACTGCCCTGGGTGTGCATTCAGGGTCAGACTTACTCTGGCACCACTTGCTTGATCTGTGGCTTCACGTATCCATCCACGGCTTTAGCTAGAGGAAGGAAAGCGGCGCTAAGGCCTCGAGCTGCTGCTGTGGGCCACAAGCCTGCGACAGGGCTGGGGGTCCAGCACGGCGAGCTGCAGAGCCCCCGTGGGGCTGGACGTGGCCTCGAGGAGCCCCAAGCCCTGGCTCCAGCCCAGAGGGATGCAGGAAGGAGAGGGACGCGCGCGGGGTGGAGGGCAGAGCTACCTGGCGTGGACTCACAGAGAACCGGCGTGTAGTACTTGGAGAAGACCTCGTCCTTGGGCCGGTCGGGGAACACGTAGATGAGGTAACTGAGGTCCCCGAGGCGGTCGGCCAGGGAGCGGATGGAGAAGTCCCTGGTGGTGAAAGGCATCAGGTTCCAGAACATCCTCTCGGCTGGAAGACAAGAGGGAGGACAGGGGTGACGCCCAGAGCTGGTGGTGGCTCCTGGTCCCGCTCTGGACGCGGGCAGCAAGATCACTGAATTTCACTGAATTTTTTAGAGTTGGAAGGGACCATAGAGATCATCTAGTCCAACTCCCCTGCTGAAGCAGGATTGCCCAGAGCTTGTCAGAGCATGTTACTCAGGAGCATCCAGGTGGGTCTTGAAAATCTCCAAGGAAGGGGACTCCACACCCTCCCTGGGCAGCCTGTTCCAGGGCTCTGCCACCCTCACTGTGAAGAAGTTTCTCCTCATATTTGAGTGGAACCTCTTCTGTTCCAACTTGTGCCCGTTGCCCCTCGTCCTCTCACTGGGAACCACTGAAAAGAGTCTGGCTCCCTCCTCCTTCAACCCACCCTTGAAATACTTGTCAGCATTGATAAGGTCTCCCCTCAGCCTTCTCTTCTCCAGACTAAAGAGTCCCAGCTCTCTCAGTCTCTCCTCATAAGGGAGATGCTCCAATCCTTGAATCATCTTTGTTGCCCTTCGCTGGACTCTTTCTAGTAGTTCCCTGTCCCTCTTGAACTGGGGAGCCCAGAACTGGACACAGTACTCCAGTTGTGGCCTCCCCAGTGCAGAGTAGAGGGGGAGAATGACTTCCCTTGACCTGCTGGCTACACTCTTCCCTATACAACCCAAGATACCATTGGCCTTCCTGGCCGCAAGAGCACACTGTTTACTCATTGTCATTTTACTGTCCACCAGGACCCCTAGATCTTTCTCTTCAGTAGTTGCCTCTAGCAGGTCCAACACGTCGAACAGACGGTGGCATTTCCCCCACCACATCCCTCCCCTGGCAACGATTAAGGGCAAAACGCAGGTTGCCAGAAAACAGGACCAGCCAGGAGGCACAGGGGACACCAGGCAGGTCTGGGCTCATCTGGACATGGTGGGGGTGAGGTTCCCCCCAGCCGTGGGGCGCTCCGTGGGGATTTGTGGTCCCTCCTCCAAATGATGCTCTCATGAAGAGCAGTAATGAGCAGACGTGCTGCACGGGGCCGGGCAACCTGTGCAAACCCATCGCAGCAGGAGGCACCAAGTTTCATATGGCCACCAGGCAGAGCTGGTGGTTATGGGTCGGATGGTTTCACCCAGTCCCTCCTCGCCAACGCTGGGGCAGGACACGGCCACGGCTGCAGCAACAGCTCCCAAGCTTCCCCCTTTCCCAAGGAAAGCTCCTGTGGCCACGGTGGTGATGGTACCCAACCGAGATGGGCAACACCAGAGCAGCAGCGCCAGCCCCATGGACAGGAGGTGGCTGAGTCCTGGGCTGGGGGGGGGGCAG